GAAGCCAGCAGTATTTCGAATGATCACCAACACTGACTGAAACATCATCTTCACACAATGCTTAGACGAATTGATGAACTAGTGAGTCAGTCAGTCAGATGCAACGTAGAACTTTGTACGTAAGTACATCAGTTCATGTTGCCATACCACATCAGCACAGAAATGTAATCGTCAATTCAAATCCAATAGTAGTAGAGGTAGAAAAAGTATTAGAAGTAATCAGAGAGGTTAGGATTAGAAGATATTACTCAAGAAGTCTGATTCAGTGAGAAAAGTTAAGGAAGTCAAAACTAAAGGTGTTGACGAATCCAGAAGATTAGGATTTGAGAGAACACAAAGAATAAATGCACCGGCGCCACTGCAAACGGTTTTAAGCCATGTCATTCAGGGTCTCTAACCATCGATTATTATCATCTCGCGGACCCCAACCAGGTAGTCGACAACTACCGACATGGCTCAGTCCTCTTGTCAATGACTTCATAGATTTGACTAGTAGTGCAGAAATGCACAAGAAACCGATGGAAAGATAATTAGATATTCTCAAAATTCAACATTGGATATGTTAGTATCACACTGAAAATAGAGATAGGTGGCAGTTTAACTTACCAACGTCTAACACTGTGAGGTGTAGATTTTCTAATGAATGAAACATATTCATAGAAAGCGATCAGTTAAATTTATTCATATTCATGTTATAACCAATTAGTTACAGTGAAATTCTCTCTAAAGAAATATTATTCATTTCTTTTTGTATTGTCAAACACTTGGTCTTATATTTGACTATACCTTCAAAAAGGTTAAATTTCTCAGCTGAAGCAGTGATAATGAGGAATTACTAGAAGACATACAATACATCTTATGTTAATACACAACATTGAATAAAGGCCGGGATCGCATCTCAAATTATATGAAGTGTAAAGTAATTTTAAACAAATTAGGATAGATAAAGGATACCATTTCAACCGGTGTAATATACGGTCTTCTAATTATTATTTAGAAAACGGATTTTGTACTAAATAAATTGTTTAAAGATGTGAAGAACAAAAATAGTTGAGATATTCGAAAATATCTACCCGTAGTCAATGTTAACACAAAAATCATCTATAGTTTAAACAACGTAAAATTGCGTTTTAAGTGTTTATCAAAGTAAACTAAGCTGCAAAGAAGTATAGTGATAGTTTAGTGGTTGAAGAAGAACTTGAATTTCAACTAGTAAGTTGAAAGTTCAAAAATCCCGTTTTATCTACTACACGATTTGTTCAACCATTAGCCCATATACAAACCATAAGCCTCTAAAGTCAAGTTTATAAAAACTGTGCTTTTGATAAGTTCGTCACTTAGTATGCTTGAGGCTATTACGAGTTCACCTTAGTCGATAAACGCGAACGAGACAATAAACAGCGTCCAGGTAGGCTACCGTGAATCCCCAGGCTGAAGTGAAAAGGCTTTGTAAGCGTACAAAGTATAGTCTACAAACACCCAGCAATCACAGTACAATCAAGCATACAACTCTCGTTTATTTATACAACATAGGAACGTCCTTGAGACAGTTAAGAAAATAGCACACTAAAATACACAGCAGCCAATCACAGACATGTATTTTCCTGGTGGGAATTGAAATCTCAAGGTCATATGATCAGCCCATGCTGGCAAACGTGAAATCCAAAATAAGGCATTATCAAGTGAATTTTGGGGATCTAACATCCCCAACAGCTTTATAAAAATATAAACTGAAAATCATGATGATGAACTCAGTGGAATTTTCATAGTTTTGAAAGTTACAGAACAAGTAAATGCAAGCAAACCTTTAAATATTCTGTGTTACATTCTGTCTTTATTTAAGGAAGTTCAATGATTAACTAAATTCGGTTGAATATCAATTATTACAAATTATAAACATTTAAATGACTGATTTTATTTATTTAAAAATTAAACAGGAGAAAAAAAATGCACAAACCTTTTCACATACAAAGTGAATAACAGTTGGGTAATTTAGATACACGCTTTTTTTTAAAAAAAAAGAACCCACTTATTATTAAACATAATATATAAACGAATTCAAAGTAATACTGATTAACAATTGACAGTTCTAGTTGAACTGCAAAATAAACGATGAATAGAGATATCGATCAACAGGGAAATAAAGTAAAGACTAAACTATATGATAATGACAATAACAAACAAGGAAATT